TCTTTACTTTCATTCCTTATCCTCAGGAAAAACTGTTTGTTTTCTAGTTTGAAATTTGTATTAGTTTGAGATATTGTTTATATATAAACCATTATCACTGAAATCAGTATTTCGAAAAATATCTCATGGTAAAATTAGTAGCTCTTTCAGACCCGAGTAGAGGTTTAGTTCAAATGCCCACGATGCTACATTCTTAAACTGTGGATATTTCCACTGCTGTGACTTATTCAGCAAAACATTTCTGCTTCATTGAAGCAAAGAATGTGTTTATTTCCTGGAACATGTACAGGCTAGTTTCCCAAGCTTCATACAGAATGGTATCTCCTCCCCCTCCACTGCCTCTTAGCTTCCCATGCTACTTGTTTGATGCCATGGAGAGAAGAAGCAGAATTCCTGGAGAAAGGAAAATGACTTAGGTTGGACATATCCTGCTTCTTTGATATAACAGTGTAGAAAATTGGAAAAACAAAGGACCAGGCTGCTACTTCTCTGGTGGTAGTTTGCTGTAAAATGCTCAAGTATAATTTCCCCTCCTCTCAACCCCCTAAACTTATTCTAATTTAACTGTTCGTATGGGCAAATTCTAGACTGAATTTGTCTACAAAGATCATTTATGCTAGGTTGGCCCAGAAAGGAATAGTAACGTAGAAGCATGACTTATATAGGAACTGTATTTTAAACATAGCTTGGAAAAGTTTGAAATCAGGGGTTTCTTCTGCTCACCAGAAATCCTATTCAGATGCTAAAGAATTCTGGTGATGCAGATCCAGATCTGCATTTTGAATTGAATAGTACAACAGGAACACCTCACAGGAATAGCTGATATGACCAACCTGATAAATCCATTTTATTGCTTTAGTTTTAATCTGTCATCACCTTATGATCAAAAAAAAAAAAAGAAACATGGTTTCTTTTACTTTTTGTTTATTTGCTAAGACAGACTAGATGAAAACTCAATACTTGCTTAAGGGAAGCAAAGATAACTTTAGAAAATTATCCTGCTCCTTACTCCAGCTCTTCCCACATCATTCCTTCAGTTGTGCCAGCACAAATGTTTTGGGGCTAATAAATGCATTAGATTTAAAAATAACTTTAAAAAGGTAGTTATTTTAATTTTTTATATCAAGGCTAGATTCACCATCTAGTTTACTGAACAGTTTCATAAACAGTTTCAGCATAACTGTTGGGGCAGCACAGCATTGGCCTAAGTATACAGGAGAGTGAACTCTATAAGCCAAAATTGCTGATGAGTTAAAAAAAGATCATCAAACTATACTGAAGTCACTGTTTCGCTGCTGAAGAGATACCAGTTTGGGGCAGTCTATGCTACCTCCCACTTCAGAAATGCCATCTTTGATTGTGTTTCCAGTTCAAAGGACAGATAACTCCTTTTCAATCATTCAGTTGAAACTGCATGTCTTCAAATCACATGAAAACAACGTCTTCAGTTTAGAAAGTGAACATAAATAGGCATTTTAAAAAACACTGTTTAATTCCTAATCTAATGTTTAGATGCTGCATAAATATATAGGATTGGTATTTATGGTTTATTTACCTGAACTCAGCATATTAAAATATAACTATATCATTGTATACTTAATTTTCTAATATCCAAAAACACACATAAGTCATTGTCTCTCCTTTAAAGTTTACACAAGGGTGATAACACTTCTCCTGGCCTCTTTACTTGTTCATTATAGAATCCTTTCAACTTTGCCTTTAGCAATCCACAAACTCATTTTTTCATGAGTAAATATTTAAACCAGGTCTGTTTTAAAATGTCTACAAAAAGAAAGAAGATAAAAGCAAGTATTTAGATTTATAGCTAACTGGGTAATAATCAACTGCTACTAGTGCTGAGAGGACTTCATCCATGCCTCAGCTTTAACATGAACCTTAGTTCAGGTAGGGGGCTGTGAACCTTTGTGCCCCTAAGGTAGTGTTCTTAGACAAATAAAAGCTTGCCATGCACCTCACAAGACAATTCCTTCTTTGAAACAGGACATTTAAACTTTTCCTTTTCATCTGTAATACAAGAGTTTGCTATGCTAATATTTGTCTTTCTATTTCACCCTGGAAAGAAAAAGGGATAAAGAAGGCAGTGAATTAGATCTTATCCCTCTGATCATTCAGAACTTGCCCCATGCTTTCAACAGTCTGTCTCCATTTAACTCAACTATTGCTATTATGTTAAATAACTTAATTATTAAAATACATTAATGATTAAAAAAAAAAAAAACCAGCAAACATTTTAAGCATTAGGTGGACAAAGCTTGTTTTCATACACATTTATTCATCCATGTAGAAAAATGTTTTCTACTTATTCTTAAAATTGAAAATTTTCTCTATATTTGATGATAAGTGAAACTCTCATAAACAGATATCAGTTTATTTACCTGCCATTCTAGGAGCAACCTCCTACACTGCCCTGAGGATGGCAGATAAAACTTTCCTGAACTGAGACAGCTCACATTAGGGACACTGAAGAACAAATACATAGATCCCTAATGAAATTCTTCTGAAAACCACAGTGTCATACTGTAATTGCATTTCATGGTAGGATTTAAGTTATTTGAGATTTTAATGGTTGAATCGTGTGGGAAAAAAAAAGAATATTTTAATGATTTCAGTCTTTCTTTTTATTATTGCTTCTGTAAGAGCTACAAGCACTCACCTGCCACTTCTTATAACTTGCCACCAGAAATATGAAAAACAAGTAACTGCTGGCATTTCTGTTATTTAGTCAAAAGCTTTGTCAAAGCCATGAGATTAGGGAATAAAAGAGTCTCTAAAATAGGGATTTACCATTGTAGTTTATGCCAAAGAAAATGTTCTTATGAAAGAAAATGGTGTTATTTGTTGCCCACTTAGAGTTAGTACGAGCTTCCTAACCTGTTTAATTTAGGATTCAAGTTTAGGCTCAATTACAAAAGTCAAAGCACTATAAACTAAACAGTGCAGAAAGATCTGGTTACCATTCTTTCACCATCCATTAAAATCAGTGATTACATGTGAATTTCCCTCTAAATTAAGCTATTACATTTTCAATTTTGATCTTTTACCTAAGGGCTTGATTCTGAATGTTGTGGATACTGAATGACTCTAAACAAACAATGGATATGTGCATATGAGTCACTAACTGCAGTGAGAGCTCAAAGAAAAGGGAGGTTATTCCTCTTATCCCCTTAGATTACTACAGAGAGCAGGACTTACATTTGAATAACATGTTTTCATATAAGAACACAGCAATGAGGAAGAGAGTAAAAGCGGCATAAAATGAATTTATCACTTAGAGATCCTAGATTAGAATAATACTATTGCACTTTTCATTTCAATGGTTTTCTTTTTCTGTAGACAAAAATGTAATAAAAGCAAATGAAAGGGATAAATATTTAATTTGATCACTTGGGGGGATTAAAATAAACATACATATGAAATTGCTTGTTAGGGATCAAACTCTGTCTCAAACTACCTTCTGCAGCTTCACTGAATTTGAAGCGACTTGCTCCAGTGATTCAAGACCAGCGTTTCATTCTTGGCATCAAAACTCACAGCGTTTGTTATGAAGAACATACTTTCTCTAAACATCTTAACGTATTAAATTCTCTACACTACAGAACTAGTTGAAAAGTTTCCAATTTACTTTCTAGACGTACATCACACCTGGGCAGGAGTTACTGCTGCAAACACAATAACTTCCATGGTTTATTCTTTTTGTTATAGAAGTCTGACTTGCTAGTTTTCAATGTTGCAATCTTTAATAAAAATGAAATTATTCTGATTCAGAGAGACATAATGAAAATCTCTCAAACCACAGAAGAAATACACACAAAGCTACATTTATTATACCTTTTACATTTACATATACTGTGCAAGAATCTGTTTTTGTCCGTTTATTTTCCCCCACAACAAAAACCACTAAAACTAGAATGGACGCTGAATGAAGAAGTCTGGCTCATTTGAGAAATGACCATGCAACATATGAAATGCTGGAAAATTAAATTTAATCCAATATAAAATATATTTAAAAAATGACTGTTTTCAAAATAAAATTGTATATACTTGATTACTTTTTAATTATGCATAATTAAAAAGTAAGAATGTTTACAATAAACGGTGTGTTTTTATTAGTTAAGTAGCAAGAAGCATTTTAGAAACGGAATGATTAATTTTTTCTGTAAACAATTTTTCCATATGTTTAAAAGAGGAAAAAACCTCCCCAAAATACAACTTTACAGTTACAGATAGAGACAAATAAACCCAAGTATACAGGTCTTCCACAGGGTTATGCTGGATCAGTTATTTTTTGTACTATCAGCTAGACAACAATAAATGCAACAAGAAAAATTTGCTCATTTTATTGGGTGAAAAACATGATTGGACATAGACAATCAGCAGTCTTGGAAAAAGTATAAAAGGGCTTCTGTTGGGGAACAAAAAAGAGGCTCCTTCCTTTTACATAGATACTTATCTTCCCATTTGCCAAAAAGGGAGAAAAAAACTGACTACCAATTTCCTTTTTAATATATATGGCACTGTAAATATGTTTATCTATATTGTTCTCGCTCCCTGTAACCTTATCATAGAAGTTATTTTTAAAGACATTGACAAATAACACTTTTTGGGTATCAGGAAGGAATTTATACTAACTGGGCCAAACCGATAGAAAGTCTAGTCAGTCTGACTTTCTGTTAGCATTAAAGGAAAACAGAAATTAAAATTAATGAGAGGATCAGAAGGGGACTCAAGACTCCTTAATCATGTGGCATGACAGAAGATAGTTTATCTTGAAGTGACTGGTCATATGAGAGGACTTTGGAATGAGAGTGCTAGACCCGCTCAAGAGCGTTAAGAAAATGATTTACCAACAAGAAAATGAGCCTTTAAAAGGCTCATTCACTTGCTTGAATGTCATTTTTGCCAAGCTTTCAAGTTAAAACAGAAAACATTTTAAAGGAAAAAAGTTAATCCCATTTCAGCAAGAGGTAAAGACCACTTACAGTGAGGTTCATAGGGAGGAGGAGGATCACCACAAGGAACACACTCCATGTCTTGAAAGCCTCCAAGCTTAGTCTTCCTATAAAATCTAGGAGGTACAAGAATAATTCATAATGACAAAGCAGTTATTTTTCCTAAAAAAATTAACCAGAGGCTTGAATATTATGTCAAAATACTCTACAAATGCAAACTGTAATCTGTTTTGTATGTGACAATCTCTGTCTTAATGAGATTGCAAACTAACAGAAAATCCAAGAGTTAGATTCCAGAACCTTGGCTCTCCAGTCAAGCAGAAGTACAATAGATAAATATGTACAGTAGAAGATCTAAACTAAACTTAGGAAAAATTCTAAATCTGTTAGTCCAAATACATACTCATTACATTCTTATATTCACATAAGAAATAAACACTTCTGGAAAGTTCAACACAAACAGAAATCAATATCTTATTTTCTGCATAGAACACAACATAGGAAAAAGCATGATGAACTTAAATTATGCAAGCTTATTTACATGACTTTAAAAAAAAATTAATCTAATCTACTAACTCTCCTAAAACAAACATGATAATACAAAGTAATTATCACCCCAACGGTGTGTAATGGACCAGATGTTAACACTTTCTAGTGAAAAATCTAAGATATCCTCCTGCTCACAGAAGGAAAAAAATCACTCATAAAATGGTTAGTTTATGTAACTGTACAGAAGAATATCCAAAAAGAAATGTTTTAACATGCTGTATGACAAAAATCTTCGGAAAACATGAGTATTCTGTTCTATTTTGTAGAAGAGCAATATAGTAAAAATGAATTAACGCAACAACGTTTTAACAATCCAGCAATCCCTCTCTGACTCTTCCTTCCTTGAAAAAAAGTACCCATAATTACACCATGCATGGACTGCAAAGCCTCGATCCATATTATCCAACACCTTGCTACATTTTCATACTGTCACTTACATGAATAATGCATAAATTCTAGATAGCAAGCATTTCAAAGTACGAAAATAATGGAGATCACAAGCAGAGGTATCAGCTAGATGGTCTAGAAAAAGAATAGCAATGGCAAGCCACAAGGACTAACAAGTTAACAGGAAAAAGAGAACCCTAAAACAAACTGATTAGCCATCTGCTTATTCCTAAATAAATTAAAGTAAAAACATCCAAAATATGGCTGGGGGACCCCAAACAAACTGATTAGCCATCTGCTTATTCCTAAATAAATTAAAGTAAAAACATCCAAAATATGGCTGCCGTACCCAAGGAGAGATTTTATTTCAAAGACCCCTCAAGAACTTTATCATAGAGTTTATGTCTGAAGAGCTTGCTGACTACCAGTAATAGGCAGAAGCCTACATTTCTAAACCAGGGAATTCACAAGTAGCACCAGAGGAATCGTATTTTAGAGTGTTATATTTCAAATTAACCTCTGAGAGCATATCTTCTAAAGAACTTAACTAAAAGAGCTCACTAATCAAGTAGGTCTTTCTTTCTTTCAACCAATCATTAATACTGAGCCTGAATCAATAGCTGTGATCGGTTCAAGATCAGTTTGTGAATTAAGTGTTTTCTGGCACATTTTGAGCTCTCAAAAAGGTACTAACTCTACTCCTACAGCTCTGTTCCCTGAGACGTCCAGACTGAATGATCTGTGGGACTATACCATCACTCCCTTTCCACCCATGTTTCCAGACTCCGTGCCAATAAAAAACTGGTTGCGGCAACAGTTTTTATATTAACATGTACCCAGGATACGCATCTGGAAGCATTCCCAGGTCCCACAGTTTAGATTTACCCTCAATTCATTTTTTATTCTTGTTTCTTTTTCCCTTCCTCTCCACTCTTCCATAATATGGCTTACATTACTTATGCCACAAGAAGAAAATTATCTCCTTGCTGGCAGCCAGATAAGTCCTACAACAGATAGTTATTAATATGCAGTAATAACATAAATCAATTAACTATGTGGCTGCAGGCTGTATCAAATGAGATTGTGAGGAATACCTAACCCCTGAGGCTGCATCTTACTGAACTATGACTTTAATTTTAGTTACCAACACTTTACTAAATGTTTTTAAAGGATAAGACCTCATTTCTGGCTTGAGAAGAGTATCTGTAGGAGCTTAAGAGTGTTCAGGTAATTGATAGCTGTTATTAAAAAAAAATGGCAAGGAGATGTATCTATGAACTTTTAAGGATCTGTGAAACATATAAGCCTGAAAACACAAAGGCTGTCACAACTGCAAAACAGTTCTCATAACCTACTTCTGTCAACAAAACTGTCAACCCACAGCTCCAAAAAGCATCAAAAATTTCTTTTAATGAATCTCTAGCAGATATTTACATTGTGCCTGAGTTCTACCATTATAAAGAATAATGTACCAGAGGTCTTACAACTTCATACTACAGATGGAGAAAATCTCTTAAAAACAGAAAACTAGGATGGATAGGACAACAAGTTAAATATAGGACTCAGTTTATCATGTGGTAGTTTCAGTGTGTCTCAATATTATTATAATTTATTCCAAAACATTTCCTTCAGATCCATAAATGACTCTCAATGAGGATCCTGCTCTACCAATTTACCAACTTAGTGAAGGAAATTCAAAAGCATAAACCACAGCCATTATTCCAGACCTAAAAACATATGTATGTGAGAATTATCCAAGATAGGTATTGACATAAAGGAGAAAAGCAAGCAAATACTGTGACCAGTCTTCAAGACGGTAACTGTGTATGTTTCCAAATATAGTATTTTAGTACCAACCACGTGTGTGGTAAAAGAAATCTGTGTATCGGAAGTCATAGGATCTTCACACTAGAAAGACAAGCCAGATTTTAATTTTATGCATTGAATACTTTCCTCAAGCTGCAGATAGTAAAGTTGAGCACGTGCCTAAGTCTGTAGAGGATCAGGGCCTGAATGATAATATTCTGAGTTGCTATTTAATTATCTGTAGTTAAAAGTTCAAACCTCACTCTAGACACTGCCTGGAGCTGTACTACACTGAAGAGTAAAAAAGGCACAAACAAGGTTTGTAAGTAATTATGGCTCTAGTACAAGTCACTGAACTCAATAAGATTCTAGTTAGCTTCAGCGTGATCAAATTATAAAAGTGTAACTCAGCCACTCACTAGCACGGCCTGTGATTCTATCATTTTTTCATCCAGTCCTGAATTATACCTATTACTCTGTGAAGCACTATATGTGCACGTGGCATTGAAGAGGTACTCAGTTAAGTTTTACTCCTACTTTTGGCAAGATTTTCAAAGAAGTCTTTTGTCGAGTGAAGCTGCAGTTCCACAGGAGTGAGTGGATATAGTGGCTCTTTACTCCAATCATTTTCTGTATATCCATGAGATCCTGTGTTCTTGTCCCCTTCTTGGTGGTGGCAGCCCAACATCTAACTAAGCCTGTGGTGTCCTAATCCATTTCAGCTCAGTGAAACTGAAGGAAAACTCTCTCTTTCTCATAGTTCCAGGAAAAAAAAAAAAAAAAAGATTGTCTGTTTTAGAAGGTTATGGGAATGAGCAGCAGGAGTATGAACTTTTTGTGAGGATAAAAAATATCTAGGTTAATTTTTTTTCTCATTTTAATATCTAAACTGGTTAATATAAATGTTCTATGAAGGGCATCAATCTGAATATAGACATCTGGTTGACCAAATTAAGCTTAAATTTTGTGTATTCCGTTCAATCAAAGAAGGTATTATGCATGTAAGTTAGTTTTGCATTATCCAAACTTACAATATTACAAACTTGAACATTACACCCACTTAAAATTTTTCAGATAAGAAAAACATTTAAATTTGTTTCACTGTGATAATAAGGATGTTAAGCATCATGCTGGGAAAGTAAGCTTAGCCAACAGTTTAAGAACACTCTGACATTAGTACTGGCATGACAGCACAGTTACACAATGGTGTGAAGAAACAAAAGGAAAAAGTGGAGTTGACATTTATTTGCAATTTAGAAATGTCTAACTAAGTTTTTAATTCTTTATAACAATTCAGTAATTCACCAGTAATACTCAATATTTTGAAGTATGTTACTCCGGCACTGTATAAGCAATACTATCATAGGTCAGAGAGATAAATAAACAATAGTTTTACAGATGAGATAACTAAGATAGAAATTCTGAAATTATGTGCTCAAATCATAAAATAAATGACTGGCAAAGCCAGTATTAGAACATAAGTCCTTCATACATTAATGACCCAGTCATTTGTCTAGAAAACACTAACAAGTAAATGTTAATACAAACTAGTTTTGAATTTGATCTCCAGTTTCATCTTCAGAAATAGACTTACCCTGGTAAACAGTCTCCACATAGCGCATTGCTTGTGGCAGAACAGTTGGCTTTCTGAAATCGGTTAACTAGTGCACAATCCAGACAAGGTTTGCACTTCTGAAAGCCCCAGTCTTCCTTGAATCTGTTTGACCTGCATGTCATGCACTCTGCATCCTCCCCAAATCCAAAGCCGCATTCCTGTAGGGATTAACAAGCAATAGCAAGCTATTCAAACATTGAAAGCATGAATAGGGAGAGAATTCTGGGATAAAATGAAGACCTAGTGTAATTATTACTGAGAGCAGGTCTTTCTAGAGACAAAAGCCATCTTTTCAGCAAGTTCAAGTGTGTCTTCCACTGCTAATAATCTCTCTTACTTCTATAAGTAATACTTAGTCATCCACTTTATTTGAGAAACCACTGTGTATTTGAATGATAAAGGGTTTCGAGGACTCCCACAGTTTCATTACTACTAGCTTATGGTAGAATCATTGAGCTGTCTGTTTTTTAATTAGGTCAGTCATGTGAAAGTGCAGAAACTGGGACAAGTGCAGTATAAAGGCACTTACTCAGTTACAAAAACAGCAAAGAAGCACTTTGATATTTAGATTCATAGCTAAGGTGAATGGAGTTAATTGCTGAGCAGCAAAGTTAATTTGCTGATCTTCAAAGGCTTAGAATCTCTGTTACCAAATAGATCAGAGCTGGTTAATGACCATCAGCTAGGCATGAAACGTTGCTTAACCCCTAAAAATTTTAGGAACGCAACTAGCTCCAGCTCGAAGAGTTCCTAAACTGCTGGAAGTGCTCAACAGCTCAATGGATCACGGGGTGTGTGATATTTTACTATACAAGGAATATTGTTACAACTACTTATTTATCCCAAATGTACTTCTCTAAATTCTTCCCATTCTTTTGCAAAAGGACACCTAACAGAACTGAAAGGGAGCAAAAAGAAACCATATACTCAACAACATATGATGGTTAGTGGTTTGGGGATTGAATTCTACAAACTGATTATCAAGAACCATCAATCTGTTTCATCTGTTTTTTCTGGAGATATCACGTGCTACGAGTTGCTATTTGCTTTTCTCATCTGAAAATCCTACTACTTTTTTTGCAGTATGAGTCAGACTCATTGCATCACTGACACACTACATAACAGCAAAAGAGTACCATGAATTGCTGAAGAGAACTTGATGGGAAGGGAGCAAGTAGGAAAGAGACATCTTGGGACCTCCTTTTCCAGCATGTAGTCTTAGTGGAAGCATGGGGCATCTTCTCAAGCGGAAAATTGTAAGCAGCCTTCAACTTGGGCAACTTGAGAAAGTTTCTACCAGTTTCCTCCCTAATACACAGCACATGCATGTTCCATGCATGTTAAGTGATTTTTTCTGAAGTTACCCACCTTTAGCAAAACTGCTACTGTAAGAAGCTTTGGACTTCATGACTACACACAGGACTCTGAAGTTTTGCCCAAAGAGCATCTATGAAGCATGATCTGACTTGGCCAGTAAGTTTTATATTGCCTCAGATTTTGCAACAATTTGATGAAGTTCCAGAAATAAACCACTTCTTAAGATAAATTTTAATGGCCATATTAAGAATTTTCTATTTTTATGTATGTAAAAAATATCTTTACTATTCTCTGGAGGAGAAAAAGTTTTCAAATACACAGATAATGAACAACTAACAAAGCAACTACAAATAGACGTTAAAACATTCCTCTTCCTCCAACTCTAGACCCATGAGCTTACTCCTACATACAGGGAGAATTTAGAAAGAATTTTAAACTTTTTTTAAATAAAAATGTAATTTCTTACTATTGACTGTTGTTCAGGCTAAGTAATAAACAGACAAATCATTGCAGTTACTAACCGAAAAAGCATACTACAGTCTCATACACTCTAGGGTGTGCTTTCCTGCAATGTACTGCTCCTATTAAAGGTGGCAGGCAACTGGGCATACAAAAATTTAAATTCTTTATTGATATCAGCCACAGAATGTTTTCTGTCAATTTATTTCAAAGCTACTGGTTTCTTCCAGGAACGAAGTGCCCAAAACCACAAAGGTTCTAGCAGTTCTATTTCATGTTGTCCACAATATCTTACTTGGTTCACTTTTACCGTCAATTTAATTTAAGAAATTTCAAATGCATATATAGAACTACATGATTACCACTGAAGATAGGAATGAGACTAATTTCTGTCATGAAATTTTGCTTTTCCTAAGTCTAAATAATTTTTTTCACTGGATTTCATTATTCTCTAACACATTCCTCCTTAGTAACTACTCTATACTCTTTGTGTTTAGATTCTTCAAATAGTAGTGCTATAGGGGATTATATTATATAGCTCTGTCAAGCTATACATATGTGGATCTTTGATAAATCACTTGGAATCAGTCCCTCCAAAGTCCTAGTAACTTTCCAAATATAAGGCTTAAATTAACTTAATTATAAGTTTCCCTTTCCAGACTACCTTTGAAGTTTCTGATTAAAAACAAGCAAACACAAAGAAACAAAGAAACAAGTTAAATGCCTTTAACTCATTGGCCCAGACTACCCATGCTTTAGTAAGTTGTTTCTAACTCCATCAGATCTGCTTTGCTATGGCTGTGCATAGGGGCATACCTTAGTGGCATTTGTAACGTGAAATGGTTTACTATTATAGTGATAAAAATGGTGGATGCAACATAAAAAAAAGCTTCTGCCCAAGGAATTTACAGACTCCAGTATTTTCAAAGATAGCTTATTCTTTGCCAGGAATTCTGCAGAAATAATCCATAGCAACTACAATTTTATGTTTGTGCTTTATGTTCACATAACTTTTGACGCAGTTGACTGCCTGGCAGACATAAATAAGTTTACAAGCTTGTAAACCAGGCAGAACTTCAAACAGACCTGTACTCATAATTAACGCATCCCCAAAACTGAAAGATATTATTTAGATGATGGAATCAAACCCTTTGAAATCTTGGACTTTATAATTCAGCAGTCTGCCAAAAATATCAACAATTGACTCTTCATCTTACACTAGCACACGTGCAAATCTGATGTGCAACACTTTGCTCAGTGCTCCGCAGACAATAACAAAGTTTTCAAGTTATATGGCTGATGAGTACTGTATAGTTCCCAATTCTCCTTCTCCCCTCCTCCCCTTCCCACCTATGCTCTGAAAAGAGGGCTCATCTCTTTTGGTAGATCACCTCAGGACTGCAGAAAAGAGAAATAATATTGGCAAACTCCATTATCTGGGTTTGAAACATGTTATATTTTTGTGCCAGAAAAAAAAAAAAAAGCAATATGTAGTATATTTTTATCTCCTGTTGCAAAGCATGCTATGAAGAACACTTCGCCCATTTTTCCCTTTCTGCTTCCCCTCTTCAGTGCTACCATCGTGGTACCAGGCAAAAGCTGTGAAGATAAATTTCTCTCTCAAATGATACACAGTACAAACCAAAAAAACCCTCAAACACTAATTCAGAAAATTGCATTAAAATTCATTTAAAAATTCACGAAATTCAAATGCATTTCTATTTTCTAGATACTTATACAGTTTTCACTGTCTCCGTATATCGACATCTCCTTACATTTACTATACTTATCCCCAGAAACACCCTGTTTCACAAATGGACACTAAGGTACCAAATGAGTGATGAGTGGTCAAGGTCACCTAGGAAACCACAGCAAACTAACTAAACTCATAATTCAGTTTCAAGCTAAAAATATTAAAGGCATACAATAATACAGATACATTTTAAATTACTATGTTGATAGTTCTAAACATTTTCTTTCAGTATACACTATGCAAACACCGACTCACACAAAAGGACCAAAAGTAAAGCAGACTATAAAGGGTAATGGAATTAAGTGGGATGGTTTCTCCCTAAAAGTTGAACGCAACGTTGAAAGTAAATGAATAGCATAAAAAGAGTAAATTTGATTTTAACCATTCTTTCAATTAAAATAACCTCAAATTCCATTTTAAAAAATGCTTTCAGGCATTATTTAGATCATAGTCTGTAAGTACATTTTAGAGATTGTTTCGAGTTCCACCAATTATACTACAAACCTAAGTAAGTCCCAGACTGTACAGAACTGGGAAGTTCCAGTTAGGCCATCATGATTACAATAAATTTGAATAGTTTCAAGAAAAAGACTTTTAATATGATGTCTGAGTACAGGGTCTTGTTAAAAATAGCACAGTTTTGGCTTCAGTGCAGCTTCATAGCACCACACTACTGTAGACTGCTAATCAGCCCCATCTAGGATCCAATAATCAGCCGTATCCATCAGCAGAAGTCAATGAGCAGGACAGGCTGCAACAGTGTGCTGCAAACGTGTAAGATTCAGCTGCTGTGGCAAAGTTAGCATCAGAAAAGTTTCATGCTCAGTGAGTTAGATGTGACATGCCTATATGCAGCTGCTCTCCTACATATCCAGGAGGCCCTGAAACATGTTAGCATCTCTGCAGCTTCTTCACATGCAGCTCTCTTCACTTGGTAAGCTACAAACAGGGCTAAACAGGGTGGCAGCTTGTACTGCAGCTGCTCTCAGTAAGTTCACTGTGGCAATATCAGACACGCAGCACTGCGCCTCTCATGCTCTTTATGAGGGCTGTTACATTCAGGAACAGCTTCCAACACTACCTTTCTGTCTAATTTGCACTTATTTTTCTCAGATAAGATGCAGGTCTCCTTTTCCTTCACCCTATGATAGAAAGCATATCTCTGCCTTGACAGCCATCAAACTGCCACTGTCCACATAAGCTTCCTCTTTATGTAGCAGTAGCAGTGTCTTGGTGACAGTATTTGTCATCATGTACGTGCTGGCAATGCTAGCTTAAGGCATTCTCTCCCTTATATCTGTTTTTCTTCTTTGTTGTACACTGTCCTCAGCTCTACTCATATAACTGTTCATAAAGCTGAGCTGTAAATCTGATCACTGAACTGATCCATGTTAAGTGATCAGTTTAGTGATCTGTTTTATAGCACAGCCTAAACATCCAGTGTGTCAGCATAACTGTACAGACAGTGCACTGCAGCAAGAACTTACTGCTGCCAAAACTGTCAGTTCTCTGCTGTTGAACTACAGCCTCAGATGAGATCTGTTGACAAAACAATCTAGAATTGCAAAAGTTTTGAGTTGCAGTTCAAGCTTGATGAGGCTAAGAGATCTATATTCTGTTTCCATATGT